AAAAAAAAAAAAAACTAGGAATGGAACCACCATATAATCCAGCTATACCACTCCTTGGTGTTAATCCTAAAGAATTAAAGTCATCATACTATAGCAATATACACACACTCACGGTTACAACAGCAAAAGTCACAATAGCCAAATTGTGGAACCAGCCCAAGCATCTGTCAGTGGGTGAATGGATAAGGAAAATATGGTATCTATAAACAATGGAGTTTTATTCAGTCATAAAGAAGAATGAAATTAAGTCACTTTCAGGAAAATGGATGGAACTTGAGGGGATTATATTTAGAACAAGTAAGCCAAACTCAGAAAGTCCAGGGTCTATGTTTCTCTCACATATGGAAGCAAGAAAAGAAAGGTGTGAGGTACGGGGGGTCTCAGGAGAATTGAAGGGAGGTCATTAGAGTAACAGGAGAGTGAGAAGGATAAGGAAATGGGAAATACTGGGGAATGATATTGACCAAATTACATTGTTATGTTGTGTGCATATATGACTATGAATACGAATCCCACTATTATGTATGATTATAAAGTACCAATAAAAAGATCTGGAAAAAAATAAAACTAAAAACAGAAAAAAAGAAAACTGAGTGAGACATATATGTGTTGAAGTCCAGTTTCTCCACTTCATAGTTTTAAAGAGCTAGTTTTATTATCCTTGATTTTCTTTTTTAAAATATTTCTTTCTTTTTTTTTTTTTTAGGAGGACACAATATCTTTACTTTTTATGTGGTGCTAGGTGAGCGCGCTACCACTTAAGCCACACCCCCAGCCCTTATCCTTGATTTTCTAATCTCCAGAATGTGAGTAGCATTTATATAAAATGGAATGAGCACATGTTACGTACTATAAAACACTGTGTAAAATATGACTGTCTTTTCCATTCATTGTGAGCAATAAATAACCCAAGTAAATGGGGACCACCCAGAGAGACAACATCTATACTTACAGTTCCAAAATCAGGATATAGGATGTGGGGGACTCATAGGTGTCATGGAGAGTGACGTACTGGGGGTGCTGCAGATGCTGAAGCAGGGCAGCCTCGTGGGCAGCCTGCTCCTTCTTCTTCATTTTTTTGCTCACGAATTTCACAGCGACATCTTTGCGGGTGGCTTTGTGAATGCATTTTTTCACTATAGAGAAACGGCCTCTGGAAAACAGAAGAAGAAAGAGTTTTCCAAGATTCATGAATCAACTAGGTGTCATTTTATCTATGTGTTAAGTTGTGTGTGAAGCGCTCAGACAATAACACCTTACAGGTTAAACATCCCTAATCCAAAAAATCTGAAATCTAAAGTGTTCCATCTGAAAGCTTTTGAGCGCTAACTGACACATCAATTGGAAAATTCCACAACTGGCTTCACATATTGGGTCACAGTCAAATGCAGGTACACTAAAAATAACTTCATAAAATTACCTTCAGGCTATACGGATAAGGTGTGCATGAAATAGAAAAGATCCTCATGTTTAGACTGGGTTCAATCCCCAAGGTATCTCATTATAGATATGCAAATATTTATTCACCATTATTTCGGGGGGATTGAACCCAGGGGTGCTCTACCACTGAGCTACATCCCCAGCCCTTTTATACTTATTTCGAGACAAGGTATCACTAAGTTGCCCAGGTTGGCCTCAA